CGACAAGGTCGAGGGGACCAGGGAGAGCCGAGCGGGAGGGCAGGAGGGAGGAGCTCGGGGCTGAGCAGCAGGCTGAGCCCCTTTCCGGGGGGCGTGCTCTGTCCTGTGGCACAGTCACCACCAGCCGTGTGGGGGCTGCACAGCCCTGTCCTCACGGGGCCAGAGCCAGGCATGGGCAGGTCTCTGCTCCTCACGGAACCGTCCTCTTGGTGGTCTGAATGCAGATTCCTGCGGAGGAGCACTGAGGCCCCCTTTCCTTGCTGGCTGTCAGCTGGAGCCCCCTGAGCTCCTAGAGGACGACTTGGGCCCTGGATGTGGCCCCTGCAGCACCGGCCCCCCCCCCCCCCCCACACACACACCCGTGGAACCTCTCTGACCTGCCCCATCTCTCCTGCAGCAGCTCCTGCTCCAGCCCAGAAACTGCTCTGCCTCCCGGTTTGCAGAGGTGATGGGCGGCCCACTAACCCCTGTCTCTCTGTCCAAGGTCCTGAACCGCAGTGCAGCACCCAAGTCTGCCTGTGAGGACGCAGCCCACGGCCCCAAGGACTGGCCTAGACACAGTCTGATTGTGCTGGAAGCATCAGGATCGAGGAGGGAGAGTCTGGGGAGAGTGACAGCCAGCTGGGAGCTAAAAGGAACGGGGGTACTGCAATGAGGGGATGGGGGCTCCGATATGACGATGGATTAGGGGTGCTAGGGAAGAGGGAGGGTTAAAGCAGCTGAGGAGCAAGGACCCACCCACCACAGGCCCCGGGCAGAAGGTCAGAGGGCGAGGAGACCCCTCAGGAGGACCTCAGAGGAAGGTGCCCTCAGGGAGGCCCGGTCTGTCAGAGCCGAGAGTGCAGGCACCTCCTGGGGAGGCTGCGCAGGTTTGGCCGATCCTGGGCTGGGAAGTCCGGGGTGCAGTGTGAGGGGGCAGGAGAGAAGACAGAGGAGGGGTGTGTGGGCCCGTGAAGAGGAGCGTGCAGGGTGCTTGGGGACAGACAAACAGGGGAAAGGACAGAATGAGGTCAGTCCTGCTGGATTCAGGGCAGGTGGTGGTGTGTGAGGGAGGTGGGAGGAGCAGGGGGCTGGGGCTCTCACTGGGCCCTGGTGGTGGGCATGCGGTTTGGGGTGGTTATCTTAGTTCCTGTGTGTGGAGCCCTGGTTATGGAGTGCAGTGCCTGGGGTGGAGGGGTCTTAGCGGATGTGCACAGCCCTCTCTTACCCCCGAGGTGGGGGACTGCTCACACCAGGCCCGTGTGGCATCTACTGTCGGAGGTTTGACCTTGGGGCACCAGGCGTGACCTACACGGCCCCTCTGCTGCAAAGGAACGGCGTTGCAGGATGACACAGACAGTCTGTGCCACTGGAATTTCACAACACCAGAGAATAGCCCCTATCTTCTTCACTCCAATAATAAGTGTTTGAAGAAAAAAGGTTGTTTTTAGAGACAAATACTGAAATGTGTAGGGGTAAGGATCACGATGTTGGCAGGCGATTTTCAAATATTTTAGCCAAGATTATAGAAATCCTATATAATAAAAACCTAATATGCTAAGTGCCTGGTTGCCCATTCAACCAAAGGGTAATATGCTAATGATGTGCTAAGGCTGCTCAACTATTAGCTATGACGTGCACTGACCACCAGGGGGCAGACACTTCAACTGGTAGGTTAGCTTGTTGCTGGGGTCCAGCCTATCACGACTGAATGAGACGGGCTGGACACACCCTGCAGCCGTCCTGCAGTGGTTCCTCCCCAGCTGGCCAATCTCCCCAGCCCCAATCATGCCCTGGTGGGCTCCCTCAGCATGGCCTGCACCCTCTCCCAATCTGGGACCCCTCGGGAGATGTTGGAGGGCCAGTTTTGGCACAATCCCACAGGCCAGACTGAGGGACTCCACTGGTGCATGAATTCGTGCACTGGCCTCTAATAATTACATAAAGAAAATATGGCAAAGTATTAAAATTATTAAATCTGGGTGACCATTGTGTTCTTCATTCAAAGTTTAAGTATCTTTGAAATTTTTCACAATATCTTGGAGAAAAAAAATAATAATGCATAATGACATGGGAAACATTCACAACATAATGTTCAATGAAAAGTAAGCTTTAATTATGCATGTGTGTGTATCTGAATATGTGTCAATGTCAGAATGTATATTAGTGTGAGCGTATGAGAACGTGTGTTTGAGAATGTGTGTGTGTGTCCCCATGGGCACGGTATCTGTGTATTGGTGTGTTGCAGTGCATGTGTGAGAATGTGAGTCAGTATGTCAGTGTGTGTACATGGATGTGTCCCTGTGGGTGCAGTGTCTGTGTTGGTGGGGCAGTCTGAGGATGCCTTCACTCATTCATTCACTTAACAGATCCTTTACAATCAACAATTGGGGGCAATGGAAATGCAGCTGTGAAGATCAAGTCCCTGTCCTTGGCCACAAAGCTTATAATCTCAAGGAGGGACCGACAGTAAACACAGGAATATATTAAAAATGTGTTAGTGCCGAAACCGGTTTGGCTCAGTGGATAGAGCATCAGCCTGCGGACTGAAAGGTCCCGGGTTCGATTCCGGTCAAGGGCATGTACCTTGGTTGCGAGTGCATCCCCAGTAGGGGGTGTGCAAGAGGCAGCTGGTCGATAATTCTCTCTCATCGATGTTTCTAACTCTCTATCCCTCTCTCTTCCTCTCTGTAAAAAAATCAATAAAATATATATATTTAAAAAAAATGTGTTAGTATCTTTAAGAGAGATGGCTCTGATGTCATCTACCCAGCCAGGATCTCCCTTCGGGAGGCTCTCTGTGGCTGCACTGTGAATGCCCCCACTCTGGACGACGGCAGGACCATACCCATCGTGTTCAAAGACGTGTTCAAAGACGTCATCAGGCCTGGCATGCGGCGAAAAGTTCCTGGAGAAGGCCTCCCTCTCCCCAAGACACCCGAGAAACGAGGGGACCTCGTTATCGAGTTTGAAGTGATCTTCCCCGAAAGGATTCCCCAGCCGTCCGTACTTGAGCAGATTCTTCCAAAATAGCTACCTGTACTCCCCAGGACTGACCAGGGACCTTTGCAGAGCTCAAGGATTTCTGGACCTTCCACCGGTTGTGGAGCCGTGAGAGGGCGGGAGGGCCCAGGGAGGGCTTTCATACTGCTGAATGTTTTCCAGAGAATATATTACAACCTTTCAAAGTCCTGCACTAAAAAAATAAATAAAATAAAAATGTGTTAGTAACCCAGCTAGTGTGGCTCAGTGGTTGAGTGTCAACCTAGGAACCAGGTCATGGTTTGATTCCCAATCAGAGCACATGCCTGGGTTGTGGGCTCAATCCACAGTAGGGGGCGTGCAGTAGGCAGCCGATCAATGATTCTCATCATTGATGTTTCTAGCTCTCCCTCTCCCTTCCTCCACTGAAATCAATAAAAACATTTTTTAAGTGGTAACCTCAGGGCCGAGACCCACCAATGGCAAACCCCCACAACATCGTATGCAACAGGGAAGTCATGCTGGGTCAGCAAGAGGAAAGGGAAATTAGGGGAAATTAAGACTAGAGCCAGGCCAATGGGTAGTTTTCAAGTCAAGTAGACCTGGGTATGAACCCTCTAGCTGAGGGGCCTGGAGCAGACACTGCCAGATGCACGAGAGCTGAATGAAACCGTCCGCGCCAGCTGCCTCCTCCGCGAAACCAGACCAGTGGAACCTCAGTTCTCCAACGTGATTCCTTCCAGAAGGCCGTTCAAGAAGCCGCCTGTTTGAAAGCCATTTCCTTTAGAAGTAATGTCAAACGCATTCATTCCAGACTCCCAAATGATTCCACGTCAATCTCTTACACAGTGCATGCCAAATGTGCTGTCTACTCTAAACAAACACTTCTCTGAAACGTACCGACCCAGCCCTACCAGTCCCAAGTCGCTTTCACACTTGGTGCAGGTGTCTTTCCGCTCTGCGTGGGGCACCTTCACTTGCTGTCACTGGCTAACCAGACCGCCTATGACCAGTTTCTTTCACACGTTAGCGACATGAGCACTCTTTTAAAAAAATATATATTTTTTATTGATTTTTTACAGAGAGGAAGAGAGAGGGATAGAGTTAGAAACATCAATGAGAAAGAAGCATCAATCAGCTGCCTCTTGCACACACCCCCTACTGGGGATGTGCCCGCAACCAAGGTACATGCCCTTGACCGGAATCAAACCTGGGACCTTTCAGTCTGCAGGCTGACGCTCTATCCACTGAGCCAAACCGGTTTCGGCAACATGAGTACTCTTGATGTCTCCTTGTTTTAAAATTGTGCTAATCATCCATTTTGCCAGCAATAAACGCAAAAAAAAAAAAAAATCACAAAATTTCCTGAGATGTTAGCGCAGTAAACTGATTCACACTGGTGTATTTCCTGAGATTTTTGTCAGGCTGACATCCTATAAAATAAAAGCCTCGGTGGTGTCGCACTACACTTTCACACGTCATCCCAATATGGTCACAAGACGGTCGGCAGGGGAGGGCAGTTGGGGACAAGAAGGCCTACAAAGGGGGGCAGGGCAGGTGCGGGGGAGCCAGGCCAGCAAAGGAGGGCAGTTGGGAGCCATCAGGTTGGCAGGATACAGCAGTTGGGGACAATTGGGCCAGTAGGGGCGATCAGGGGAGCAGTGAGGTGTCAATTGGACTGGCAGTGAAGCAGTTAGGGAGTGACCAGGCTGGCAGGCAGGTGAGCGATTAGGAGCCAGCAGTCCTGGACACAAATTCCACACACCAGGCCTCAAGTATCAGTATGAAAGGGCTGTCAGGTTGGAAACAGTGTGCTCTGTGAACTGGTCTAGACTATACTCCTTACTCTGGGAATGGAGAGGACAGAAAAGCCAGAGCTAGGGGAACAGGGAGATGTGGCGGGCTGGCTGGGCACGTGCTCTGCGCCAGCTCTGCTAAGCTGGCAGGATTTCCACATCAGCAACAGGAGTCTCTCCAGGGCCAGGTTGGGAGGGAGGGGAGCGCAGGGGCAGGGCTAGGCACTGAAGCAAGACCAAGGCCAAGGCCCGGCAGAAGCCAGTTCCTGGTGGCAGCTGGGCAGCTGATAGCTCCCTGCCTCCCCGCCATGGTGCTCCTCCTGCCCTGGCTCTCGCGGTGCTGTCGCCGCCTCCTCCTGCCTCCTAGGCCGCCGGCCCCTGGCTCCCAGAGATGCTGCTCCCAGAGCCCCAGGACCAGCACCAAGGAGCAGGCCAGCACCAGCGGCCGCGGGAAGACAAGGCCCCCCGCCCCGGTAAGTGGCACCAGGAGCGGGGCAGGTAGGTGTGAGGGGAGATTGTGCTGTGGGGGGAGGGATCCCGTCTCATCCTGTACCACGGGCCCAGAGCAGATACCAACCCGGACCCCCGGAGGGTGCTGCCTTCCAGCGTGTTCCCCACCCCCACCCCCACCCCCACCCCCCAGGGCTTACTCCCTGCTTGCAGTCCACTCACTGTCCTTGAGCAGACATTTCCCCTCATTAAGTTAATGATTTCTGGGCGATGGGGGAAGGGGCAGGCAGTCCTTCCTCCAAGTCCTTACAGCCCCCAGCCTGTGCCTCCCAAAGGCCGATGCCTAAGCCAGGAAGCTGCCCTCAGACGCATGGCATCAGACCCCAGGCAGAATTTCCCTCGCCCACAGCCTCAGCCCCCCGCCGGGCTGATGCTCCCTCCTCACACCCCTCCCCAGGGCCCCGGGCTCCCTGCAGAGCTCGCCCGGGCGGAGGAGCTGCTGGAGCAGCAGCTGGAGCTGGCCCAGGCCATGCAGGAAGGGCAGGAGGGGGCCTGGGAGGCGCAGGCCCTGGTGCTCAAGACGCAGAAGCTGAAGGAGCAGATGAGGAGACTCCGAGAGAGCCTGGGAGGAGGAACCTAGGGTTTCACCCCCAACACAGGAAACACTGCACGCCACCTGCCGAGACCACCAGCCTTGCAGGCCACTAAGAACAGAGGACCCTCCAGAGAGCCAGGCTGCAAAGCGGCAGGAACCATGGCCTCCGCTGTCGTCTTAGCCCCACTGTGACCCCTCCCGCTGACAACCTTGGCCCCACATCAAGAACCTAGCACCACCTCACCCCAAATCCAATAAAAGGAGCACTTAGACACCACAGACGCATGTTTTTTGTTTTGTTAAAAAAGTTCTCACAAATAAGGAAGCGGGGTTTTACAAGTGGTAATGCCAAAGAGGGCAGGCCGGGGTGGGCTGGGCTGTCAGGGCTAGGGGCAGTAGTGTCTCCTTCCCCCCACGCCTGGTGTCATCTCCTGAAGAGGGACGGACGGTCACGTTCCAGCACATGCGCGGCGTCCTCTATCGTGTCTGTTCAACTGAAAAGAAGATGTGGCGGTTAGAATAAGACATGAACCCTGCTGCTGGGGTGGCTCAGTGGTTGAGCATAGATGTGAACCAGCAGGTCACGATTCGATTTCCAGTCAGGGCAATGGGATTGTGGGATCGATCCCGTGTGGGGGTGCAGGAGGCAGCCGATGAATGATTCTCATCACTGATGTTTCTCTCCCTCCTTCCCTTCCTTTCTAAAATCAGTATATCTTTTTAAAAAAAGAAAAGACATGAGAAAAGCGAGGCTAGCAGAAACATGCTGTGCATGCAGATGTCTGTGTAGGTCTGGTCCAAAGAGCAGACTGGGGGAGCGAAGAGATCCCAAGTGGCCGTGAACTTACATCCCATCAGGGCTGAGCTAGTCAGGTGCCACTCTGTCCTAGGGCAGCGGTTCTCCGCCTTCCTAACGCTGCGGCCCTTTAATACAGCTCCTCAGGTTGTGGTGACCCCCAACCATAACATGATTTTTGTTGCCAGTTCATAACTGTAATTTTGCTACTGTTATGAATCGTAATGTAAATATGTGTTTTCCGATGGTCCTAGGCGACCTTGCTAGCGGCTGAGAAGCGCTGCTGTGAAGCCTGAGACCATCAAGACGTTAGAAAAGGTTGTGAACCACCATACTAGGGGCTTTCCCCACACCATGGGGTTTAAGACAAACAGTAGGGAAGAGGAGAATGTCACGAGCGGGCAGTTCACGTGATCAATACTCACTGTAGGAGGAGATGTCTATCTCATCAGGCAGCTCACTAATATTGACCTCAAAGCGATCCTGCACATCATTGAGGATCTTGGCATCATTCTCATCTGACACAAACGTGATGGCCAAACCCTTGGTACCAAACCGGCCTGCTCTGGCCACCTGGAAGGAGACAGAAGGTAGGTCAGGAGGGAAGATGCATGCTAAGAAGACAGGGAAAATAAGGGGGGGGGCGAGGCCACTGAATGGCCGAGGGTGCGGGCTTACCCGATGCAGGTAGGTGTCCGAGTCCTCAGGCATGTCGTAATTAAAGGCAATGTTCACCCTCTCGATGTCCATGCCTCGGCCAAACAGGTTGGTGGCCACAAGAATTCGTCGTTGAAAATCTTTAAATTGCTGATACCGAGAAAGCCTTTATGAGAAAGGAAATTCGAAAATGATGAGTCCTTTCTCTCAAGTGTCTTCCTCCCAAGAACACAAAGCATCTTCCCCATGTCCGACTCGCCTCTCCTCCTGGGGCATCCCGCGGTGGATGGCGATGGCTGGGAAGTTCTGCTCCACCAGGAGCTGGGCCAGGGCGATACAGCGCTGCACGGACTTCACGAAGATCACCACCTGCGTGCGCGGTGGGTCCATGCGAGTGTGAGGTTATGTGAAAAAGGAGTTTTCAGCAATTACTCGTCCGGGGGAATTCCTCAGGCCCTATCATGTTTCCTCCTCTGCTCTGAATGTAACCTTACCTCCAGTCTAGATAAAATTTATTGCAAACAAACTCAGGAATAGCCCTAGCTGGTTTGGTTCAGTGGGTAGAGCATAGGCCGGTTGACTGAAGGGTCTTGGGTTTGATCCCAGTCCGGGCACATGCCCGGGTTGTGGGCTTGATCCCCAGTGGGGGGCGTGCAGGAGGCAGCCGATCAATGACTCTGTCTCATCACTGATTTCTCCCCCCCCCCCCCTCTGAAATAAAACAAAAACCCTACATAACAGGTAGTGATGAAACTTATCTCCTCAGGAAATAGTACATGAAAAACAAATTTAAAAACCTAAACGGATGATCAAGATATTTCAGAACCATTACAACCTTATTAAAACCCTTTCAGGAGTCTTTTTTATTTTTATTTTAAAAAATAAATTTTAGCCGAGACCGGTTTTGCTCAGTGGATGGAGCATCAGCCTGCGGACTGAAGGGTCCCAGGTTTGATTCTGGTCAGGGACATGTGCCTTGGTTGCGGGCACACCCCCAGTGGGTGGTGTGCAGGAGGCAGCTGATGGATGATTCTCTCTAATTTCTGACACTCTGTCCCTCTCTCCTCTCTGTAAAAAAATCAATAAAACATATTATATAAAAATCAATAAAACAAAATAATTTTTTTAAAAAATAAAACACACAAAACAAAAAAACACCCTTTCAGGGTTTTATTTTGAGGTTTGCTTTTATTCACCGAGTACCTGTCTATGCCAGCAATGGAACAGAACAGCAACTCCCACCTTGCTCATGCTAAGCTCCAAGACATGTATGTTCTTCTTTCAAAGAATTTAAAGCCCAGCCAGCATGGCTCAGTGGTTGAGAATCGACCTAGGAACCAGGAGGTCATGGTTTGATTCCGGTCAGGGCACATGCCCAGGTTGCGGGCTCCATCCTCAGTGTTGGAGTGCAGGAGACAGCCCATCCATGATTCTCTCTCATCAGTAATGTCTCTCTCCCCCTTCATCTCTGAAATCAATAAAAAATATATTTAAAAAAGGTTTTTTCACTTAAGCCTTGGCCTGGAAGCAGAGGCAGTTGGAGCACTGTCCAGTACACCAAAAGAAAATTGCGATTCGATCCCCAGAGTACACAGGTAGGTTACAGGTCTGAGCCCTGGTTGCAGCGCACAGCGAAGCAACAAACTGATGTCTCTCTCTAGAGTCAACAAAAGCACCGTCAGGTGGAGATTTAAAGAAAAAGATTTCGCTTGAGAGACGTCGCCACCATCCTCACATCACCGCGTGGCGTCCTCTACGACAGGGCACTGAACACGCTGGCGCCACTGGGGATGTGCTCATCCTCCCAGGGACTGCAACTGACCTGGTTGAACTCAAGGACATCCAAAAGGTCAAAGAGCTTCCGGTTCTTCTCGTTGTCCTTCAGTTTCACGTAGTACTGCTGCAAACCATGCAGCGTCAGCTTCGTCTCATCGTCCACGAAGATCTCCATTGGCTGAGGGGGAGGGGGAGGTAGGGGTGGGAACGGGAGGAGGGCAGAGTGGGGGGGTTAAACCTGGGGGGGTGGAGGAAGTTGATCTCCAATACACCCCATGGGGGGAATGGGGAGAAGAGAAGACTGAAAACTTCACCCCACTCCCAAAAGCACGCCCATTTCACGTGGTCTCTCCCACCTCTGACCTAATTCCCTTCCTTCCAATGGAGTTCTAAGAATGCCCAGCTGAAAACTGTCAAGAGGAGGAACTTGCAGGGAGGAAAAGGGGCAGAGAGACCACCCCACGGCAAGATGCCATTACCTCAAACGGAGGCGGGGAAGGACGTCCGGACAAGATTCCCCAAGGGAAACAGGGTTCCACACCCGGGAAAGCCTGGGAAACACTGCCTGGACATCAGGACACTCCACCCAGCAAGTGTAAGAGTGCAAGGAAGAGGCCCGCTCCATCTGCGCGCCCTCTGCTGGGAGCCACGTCCTCGTGAGGAGGCTGGGAACCCTCCATGGACATGACCACGTGCCATGAGGGAGCAGCAGAAACGATCCAGCCACCAGGGCATGGCTCTAGGGGACACTGGTCTGAGCTAAGACCCCAGCCATCGGCAGGGCCACATGGAAGGCATCAGGAAGTGGTGCTAAGAAATCAGAGCTGCCTGGCTCAGGGGCTGAATGTTGACCTACAAACAGGAGGTCGTGGTTCGATTCCCGGTCAGGGCACATGCCTGGAGTTGCAGGCTCAATCCCCAGACAGCTGACCAACGATTCTCTCTCATCATTAATGTTTCTCTCTGAAATCATAAGATATTTTCTAAAAGAAATTCAGAGCTGCAGATACGCACTTATGTTTTTACCCTTGAAGGGAGGAAGGTAGCATCAAAAGACAAATTACATTTAATAAAAGAAAAAACCTTTAAAGGTAGAAATTGAGACAAGCCTGGCTCCCGAGCCCACATTTCCTAGCCTCTCGGCCGCCGCGGGGCACAGGAACACTAAGGCCCAGGCAAAGGCTGCGGGTCACGCCAGACAGACAGAAGCCGGCAGAGGCCGCTTCCCTAAAAGGTCTGTGGCCTCCGAAGCTCCCGGCGGCCCAAGCCCAGCCACAGACGAGGAGCTGCACCCCGTGGGAGCGCAGAGCCGCGAGGCAAAGCCACTCCAAGGACACGGCGCCGGCCCAGCTGGTCCCAGCCAGCGGAGCACTGCCGTTCCGGGCCCCCTCCCACCCGCTCGGCCACCCGCCCGCCCCACACGGAAGGTGGAAACAAGGAGCACGGCACGCCTTGTTCAGGAAAAGACCGGGAACAGAAAAAGAGGCTGGCTGTGTCCTCGGCTTCCTGGGCAGGTTTCCCGCGGCCGCCGCTGCCGCCGTCCGCCGTGCCGTCCGCATCCCCGCTGGCCACCGTGCTTCTCTGCCGCCGGCGTGTCCCATCAACCGAGGTTCCACGTGGGTGCGAGGAGGTTCGGGTGGGAGGGCGTAGGGGATCGGGGACTGAGGTGCCAAAGGCCCCCACCCCTGGAGGTGGGGAGGGAGCGAATTCATCTGTGCTGTTTGCTCTTCGTTTGCACATGCCTTGCCATCTGTCTGTCCCTCTCTTGCTCTCCTGCCACCGGGAGGTTACGAGTTTTGGGGAGCAGAAGGCTCCAGCTGTATGCTCGATGCCACCTTGAGGGTGCGTGGCTGTAGGGGACGTGTAGGAGACGATGGGTGGGTGGTAGGGCAGAAAACCCTGCCCTCCCCCAAAAGGGAGAAGAGGTTCAAAAATGCTGTGATTAAAAAAAAAGCCGAACACTACCCGCTCTCACGTTAACCCGACCAAGTCTTCCGGAATGTCCCTGGCACCCGCGCAGACCCTAGCGCTAGCTGTCCCTGCCTCTG